ATTAATTGTTTATTTTAATCTGGAGGAAACGTTGAAGGGGGAAATGAAAAAGACAAGCAGTCTTCTGCAGAAGAAGCTTTTTCAGCGTTTCAGGCAGGAATATGCTGAAATTTGGAAGTGTCTCGATTTATCCAAGAAGGGAGACCAATACGTACACTGTGGGTTATGCCAAACTGACTTTTCATGTGCGCAAAATCTAGTCATTGTTGTTTTACTGAATTATTATTTAAAGTCTGAACAAATCATTTGAACTGTTCAAAGTTTTCAATTAGTTACATATATTGTGATGCCAGACAATATTCGTGATGCTTTAGCAATTTTACATAAACTCAAAACAAGCTGCTGTATCATAAGTTCATATGACAAGACAACACAACATTGAACAAAAATCAGAAGATAATTTTTTGTCTTATGAAAGAAAGTTCAGTTAAAGAATGCTTGATGTCTTAGCATTTACCCCAAAGTACTATCAAATTGCAGGAATGAATAACTTCTATTCAAAATTCTTGGGGTGGAAGGGGTTGGGCAATACAAGCCTTCGATAAAACTGCACTTTAATATTAAAAACTACACTTTCTAAATGTATAAACTACACTACTAGCTTAAATGGGGTAAACAGGTCTGACCAGTAGCATATTCATATAGCTATTTTATCCTTTAAAAACTGGTATATAAAGTTCACTCCCAAACAAACAAAAAACAGGTGGTAAAAAAAATTGATATGATATATTTTTGTTATTTTTACACTTTATTAATATAGTTGACAAGAAAATGTGATTCAAAGTTTTCTTTATCATGTTTTTAAAATTTTATGTGAAGGGATATAATTTAACCATATATCAGTTTCTAACTTGACATGCCTCACTCAACCCAGTTTGAATCCCGCATGTGGCAGGTGTGTTCGACTCGATTCTTAATTGACTAGGATTGCCAGTTTTCTTATCAAAGGTTTGTAGTTTCCTCAGGGGACTCTGGCTTCCTCAACCAATAAAAACTGATAGCCAGGAAATAGCCAATAGTGTTGAAAGTGGCATTAAACACTAAAAATGTATTTCATGCGATATTATAAGTTGTATGGTTTGCTACTGACCCACTACAAATCCTTAGAGTGTTAGTAAAATTCATAGGGGGTGAGATTGAAGGCCAAATCCCCTATGGATTTCACTTACTCTCAATGGATCCAAAGGGGTCAGTAGTGAACTGTATAACAAATTTATCGCACACAGGACTTTTCCTGCCAAGTTTTATATAGAAATAAGCAATGAAATACAATGATATTAATGGATGACGTCACCATTAATAGTAGACATGATGTCATGAACCCCATATGAAATCTACTGACCCATACGGATCCATAGGGGTTCACCACGTGGCGGGATTAGACCAATCATAACGTCACTAATTTACCTGTGGTGCGATAATGAATATTAAATGTAATTTTCCTAATTTTATATATTTTAGGAAAGGAAACAGAATTTGATACAGGTTCTTGCCAGACAAAATTACAATGCTAAATCTAGGCTAGAAGATCAAAGGAAAGAGGTAAACATATAAAAATTTGATAGTATTCTTAATTCAGTATATAACTGTCTCTGATAAATGATCCTAGATCACTCCTCAAGCATTAAAATAAACCAAAATCACAAAAAAAGGAAATAGGAATAGAACATGTAAAAAACAGTGACAGATTGCGGAAAATCAATATTAAATAGATATCACTAAAGAATACGACTTTGAAAGTAAAACAGTTCCGTCCTTTAGTAAAATACTGTTAAATATATTCATCATGTTGATAATTGAAGGAACTATATATCTACAACAAAACACATGCAGCAGTATAAAACATCAAAACTGAACAAATAACAGATTAAATTTTGTAGTTTATAAATTGTTATGCATAAGTTTGTTCCAGAATGACTTCTTCACTTTTTTCGTAGCGTTAAATACAAGCGGATTCCAGTTATTCAATGCTATGAAAAAAATGAGAAATTTGACTGGAGAATCCACATGATATGCTAGATTTTGTTCTTAACAATGCATTCTAGCTTTGTCTTTTGTAACTTGTTGTTATTTGTCGATAACTTCCACTCACAAGTCATTACATGATATGTTAATAATTTATGTTGGTGTATATTTTTTTCAGATTGATCAATACATAAGTCCTTGTCAACACATTTCACAGAAACACAGACATTGACCAGTGGATTGCATGGATCTGTTGTAGATGAGATAGATATTTTTACAGCCCTGGCCTTACCTAATTTATTGTTTACTATTGTCAATGAAAGATAAAATATTGGACATACATGTACAAACTTTGTTTTGTTAATTTCTAGAGGCTTTGATCTTTAAGGATAGCAATCACTCACACTGTTACATATTTTCAGGTTGAAATACATATAAAAAAAAGCTGAGAAATAGCGAAAAATATTGGACAGTCCAACAGCGAAAAAACATTGGACAGTACAACAGCGAAAAAATATTGGACAGTACAACAGCGAAAAAATATTGGACAGTACAAAACGAAAAAAAATATTGGACAGTACAACACGAAAACAAATATTGGACAGTACAATAGAGAAAAAATATTGGACAGTACAACAGAGAAAAAATATTGGACAGTACAACAGATAAAAAATATTGGACAGTACAACACGAAAAAAAATATTGGACAGTACAACAGAGAAAAAACATTGGACAGTACAATAGACCACACCAATGACATACTCCCAATATAAAAATAAGGTGATGTGGTATGATTGGTAATGCGACAACTACCCACCAGTGAAAATCCAAGTTCTCTGAAAAAAATGACTGGCAAACAAAAGCAACATCAATGAACAACACATGGTGCAAATAGCTGGGCTTGGTACAGGCACAAAATGTTTTTATGTGCAGACATACCTCCTCCTTTGCCTGGGTAGACTATTCAGTGTAAAAGAAAAGGCGTTTTCATAATGGTTACATTTTATTATTACTTTGATCAAAAGATTGTTTCAGTGAATGTAAAACACTGTTGATTCATTATTATTAGTGGGGGATTCCAAATTTCGTGAGTTTAAATAAACCATGAATTTAAAATGTTGAGGAAAAAACAAATTTGCTATGGACTTTTATGCATACTTTGGCAAGACAACGAAATCAAGTATCAACAAAAGTTGAATTTTTTTTTTCAATAAAAGTGGTACCCACAAAAAATAAATAAATTCACAGTTGTTGCTCTGTGGTGTAACAAAAAATATTGCTGATTGAAATGTTGCTTTAATTATATAAATGACATGGAAGAATGTTATGATAAGAATGCACAATACCTGTTAACCACATAATCTATAAATTTTTTTCCAATTTTGTTAAAGATTTGGTGTTCCTGGAATGACAACATACGTGTCATACTCAACTTGTCTTAAAAAAACTATGGTTAAGTTTATGAATTTTTAAAAGTAAAGTTTGTCACTTATTTACTTTTCAGTGCTTTGAAGATCCCAATATCAGACATCTCTATAAACCAGACAACAAATCCATCCTACCAACAGTTACAACAATTATAAGATACAGTACAATTCCCACCATATAAGGTAAAGTTTTGTAGATTGGTCTGTCAATCATTGTATTAGAAATCATGCTTGCAGTAGAGGGCCAATGTATCTAAGTGGTGAACCATACAGATCAGTTCAGAGATGTTACTATAATAGATGTCAAAGAGTGATGGCGACCTTTTTGAATATTTCTCTAAAATTTACACAAAAATATTTCTTCAATTATTTGATTCTAAGAAACAACCAGTCACTATACAATTTGGTTGAAATGTCTTCCTGTCATTTAGGCAATTTTTTCTGAAAAGTCTTCATCCAATCATCAATTTGGTATGGTTTCAAGGCAGGCCCTGAGGGCTTCCAAAAAACATTTGAGCCAGCCGGACATTTTTTTTGTCTCATTCCGATTTTAATCCCTTCAGACTTAGTAACAAAAGGAACCCATAGTAATCAGTTGGACATCATATAAATTATGATTGACACAAAAACGGTATTTGACTTGATTCTTTTATATAAACTCTATGTTATTTTGTTAACTGTTAAATTGACAGTGCACCATTCGAAGTGTGCAACATCAGCGTACTAATATCTGCTTAAGACAATTTATTTGTGCAAAAGTACGCTGTCAATTACTACACTTTCATTTTTGACAAGTACATTTTCCTCATACCGGATGTTGACTTGACAATGGTAAAATACGGACCAGAGACGGATATGTAAAATCTGTGTACGTTTACAAAGCACAATTGAGTTATTAAAGTAGATCAAAGTAGCTCTTTCTGCTTTATTTCTACAGGAAAATACTCGAAATGAACGTTATCAGGCACTGTTGCCTTTTTTGTGACATCAATATCACAATAGCAAAATCAGAGGACAATATGAACTTTATGACATGATTGAATTTTGACCAATGGAGAGCCAAGAGTAACAACTGGTTCATTATATAAAAATAATCAAAACTTGTGGAAGAAAAGTTCAAGTTAGCTAAGAATTAAAGAATAGAGTTTCTTAAAGAAGTATTTAAGTTTCCTGCCCTGATGAAACTGATAGCTATGGAAATGTTTTAAAGTGTAGAAATGGGTATTTCACCCTAAAATTCAGACAAACAGTGAAACAGGTACATTGAAGAATTTTTTACACATTTGAAAAAATGCAGAAAAAGTGATAGAATTACAGTAAAAACTGGTGAATTTATTTGTAAATTAGAATTTTTATCCACACATTTCTCCAGTACTATTGAACAGAATGACTTCATTTTGATCAGCAGCTTGGCAACAATGATTTGTAATGTAATTAGCAGCTTTAAATTGTTGAATGGACTTTTTTGGTTTGTCACACTTTAGCAGTACTACGATTCTTTTTTCTGTTGAAATGAAGATTATGGGTCTTAACTTGAAAATTAAATCAAAAACAACATTCCTTAATAAGAAAAGCAACCTAAGTATATGTTCTATTTTTTATTTTTAGGCACCAGAATGTATATTACTACACTGTTTGAAGATGAAGTATGAAGACACATTAAAGAAAATAAATTGGTCTGACGAGGACATTTCTTCATCAGAAATTGAAGGTTTTTACATAGATTTATTCTCTTAGTGAAATAAGGCACTAAACTTTATTAAGAGTGTTTTGAGACTTTTAAAAATTGTCAAACAAAATATAACTGGCCTGGGGTATAAAATTAGGAGATGTGGTATGACTGTCAATGAGACAACTATCCACTAGAGACCAAATGGCATAGATGTAAGAAACTATAGGTCACTGTAAAGCCTTTAACAATGAGCAAAACCCATACAGCATAACAAGCTATAAAAGGCCCCAACATGACAAAATATAAAATTCAAACGAGAAAACTGACAGCCTGTTTTTTGTACAAAACAACAAATGAAAAGAAAATATGACATACAGCAACATAAGACAACCACTGAATCACAATCTACTGGCTTAGGACAGGCACATACAGAATGTCGCAGGGTTAAACATGTTTGCAGGCCCCAAACCCTTCCCTTAACCTGGGACAGTGGTGTGTATGTTGTTGAGAATTTTCATGACAATTTAAAATTTTCTAATTTTTTTTTTATTGAATTTTAATATTACATGTCAGAATTATTTTTTTAAATGATTCCCCATGCCCCTTCAAAAGATCAAGAAAATATGTTTCCCAAATTGTTGCATCAGATTTTTTGAGGGAAAATATGATCCAACATTTGGAACATTTAACAAGGTCTCATGCCAAATTTCAGTAGCAAAGAAAAAGTAGGCAACAATTGGGAGAAAATACAATTATGTTTTTTCTGTTTTGTTTGTAACTCATTTGCTAGATATATATTTTGCATTAAAATAATATCAGAAAATTTAACTTTTGAGAAATTGTTTGTTCCAAGAGATTTAATGTTCCTCCATACAAAAGTAAAAGATGTGTCCCATTTTCCTTTTTTTAATTTTATATCAATTGAATAAAAATATAAAGAGCTTTATCTGTTCAGATAATATAGAATAATAATAAAATTTTTGATATTTTCAGAGTTATGTAGAAATGTTCATGAACATGACCAGAAGCTGTTAGATAAAATGTTACCATTACTGAATCAGAGAATAAACTCCACAGGGAAGGCACTGGCAGACTGTGTACATGTTAAAGATACTATCAGTGAATGGTTTGTATATTACTGTTTCAAGCATATCCATAAACAACAGACCTACAAAAATGTGTAGTCAAAACATGAATTGTTAACTGTATAACTGTTTAGACAATTAAGTCAACAGTTTTCGTTTATTTTTTATTTTTGTAGTAAATGTACATGAACAAGCTTTAAGGTAAGGGATAGAGAAAATTCATCTTGAAATCTAATTCCATGATTATAGTATGCTTTTGTGTTAGAACCAGAAGTTGTGTCAGTTCAATATATTTATGCAGTTGAATTTTTTTGTGGATATCTTGGTTTGGCACACAAAAGTAAAAAAAAGAAAATGCAATAATTTTTTTCTTTGACTAGAATAACCATAATATTTTAGAATTCATGCAAAAAGTTTTTCACTCGTATTCACTACAAAACAGTGCACTTTTTCAGTCTTGTAGATATAATATCTTTATGAGACAAACATTTCTTAAGCACATTTCATATTCACATTGCACCAGGAAATTATTAAAAATCACAAACAGTCTTGTTTTTTTAAAAATGTCGAAATTTGCGGAAATTTGTTCGAGTTGTCTCCCATAGACTTCAAAAATTGTAAAATAAATTGGACTGTTAATACACTATATCCTTATGATATTGATTATATAAGTATAATTGTTTAGTAACATGATGAAGTTTTAAGTTTTTCAGATAAGAAATTAAATGTGTGTTTATTTTTAATCAGAAGAGCATATAAATAGTTAAAAAAGGCTGATCATATTTCTGGTATTTTAAAAGAGTCATGTAAAAAATGAAGCTATTTTGAATCAGATTTTTTTTTAATCATCATTCATACCATAATTCATAACATAATGCAACTTGCTGGATAGTAAAGAAAACTTGACATTGTATATCTGCTGATATAGAGTACATTTTAATGCACATAATTCCATTAGGTTGCTACAAAACTATATTAAAAAATATGACACTTTTTATATTAACTGTAATATAATTTTATTGTTGTGATTAAGTGATAATTAAATTAATCAAAGTCCTTTTAGTGTACATCAAATAATAGTTCATCATATTAGTAGTGTTATAATAAATCTGATTGTAGTCATAATTATCCCTTAAGGTCGGCCAAGACATTGTAAGAGTAGTCTTAGTGATAATGATGTAGACAAAATAAAGCTTTAGTTCTTATATCACATATTCACGAAACTTGTTTAAATCTTTCAGCTGGTAAAGTGCATTAACTGTTTCAAATTCAATAGCTACGTCACAAGAAAGGCATATTAGAAACACACTTCTGTTAAATACAGAAGACTCCACCTAATCGGATATAGGCTAAACGAATATATCGGCTATTGTAATATTATTTCAAAACGCCAAACCCTTTCCTATATGTTTAATGTAAATTTTATCGTGTAATTGAATATCAGATATTAGAATATATAATCGGCACATCGGATAGGAATATTCATGAAAATTTTGTCAAAACCATGCACAATCGGATATTTTCAATATTTTTCTAACAGGAAATGGACCTGGAAGTTATGCAATTACAATCTTGCAGACAAGAAAATTTAGTTTTTTCTCAATAAAAAGGAACTATTTCTTAAAAATTTGTTGTCAAAATTCGTTGTCTTCCTTTGTAATATGAATTATATGCCCTTACAATTCAAATGGTTTGAATTTATTTATAAATACAAGTGCAGTTCATTGGGAGAATTTTGAGAAAAAACTCTAGTGTTCACAGAATCCTTCTGAATGATTTATTGCAATATACATATAAATCCTTTTTGATCAGAGAAATCTGACTTTTGTCAGATAATTATGTAACATGTGCTTGACCACATGTCATGAACGCCATTTTCCCTTGTTTACATAATGTGTAGCCTCAGAACCATGAGACCTAAACATAAACATAATCTTCAGAAAACTTGCGCTTGATGCATTATTATTTCATCAATCATAATTATCTTCATTGATAGTATGTAATGTATTATGATATCATGAAATGTGATTATCACTGTTGAACAGTAGAATTTTTTTTTTCTCTGGTTGCCCCAAAGGAGAAATAAATTGAAAAACAAAATTTTTTTACTCCACCAATTATAACTGAGTTTTTGAAACTCATGAAAAAGTTCTTTTCCATATAAATACCACAAATCAGTGGGCATTTACGGTATTTGTAAACATGATGTCTTTATTATAAGACAAACATTAATTTTATAAATAAAATATTATATTTACATTGCATTTAAAATGATAAACAATCAGTATTCATCTCAAAAGCTAACAAAACCTTTAAACAGACTTATTAAGAAGGGATATAGTTACGATACTGTTGTCAGGTCATTAAAGATTGCATATTTTGGCTTTAATATTGATTCACTTATAGGGTCTTTGCATCGGAATTAAACATATTTATTCTAAAACCAGTTGTTGGCATGACATGGGTTATGTTCTTCTCATATATTTTATGATGGTATAATACTAAACCCCTAACAGGAGGGATTGTGCCTGATATTCATATGATGAAGACATAATCTTTCAATCAGTTTAATTGAGGTCAGGAGCTGGCATGTCAGTAACTGCTAGTAGTCTGTTGTTATTTATGTATTATTGTCATTTTGTCTATTTTCTTTTGTTTCCTATTCTGACATCGGACTCTTAAACTGAGTTTTACTGTGCGTACTGTTGTACGTTTGTTTTTTCTACATTGGCTAGAGGTATAGGGGGAGGGTTGAGATCTAAAAAAACATGTTTAACCCCGCCGCATTTTTGCGCCTGTCCCAAGTCAGGAGCCTCTGGCCTTTGCTAGTCTTGTATCTTTTTTAATTTTAGTTTCTTGTGTATAATTTGGAGTTTAGTATGGCGTCCATTATCACTGAACTAGTATACATATTTGTTAAGGGGCCAGCTGAAGGACGCCTCCAGGTGCGGGAGTTTCTCGCTGCATTGAAGACCCATTGGTGGCCTTCGGCTGTTGTCTGCTCTATGGTCGGGTTGTTGTCTCTTTGACACATTCCCCATTTCCATTCTCAATTTTAATCCTTTATTTAAAATGTGCACATTTTTTTTAATATACAAAATAGCCATAATCTCACAATTCACACAAAAACACACACACAGGTAAAAAAGTTAGAAAGGTAAGATACACTGTGTTCTCCCCAGAATTTTCAAAAAGCACCATGGAAATTAACATAGCACTGGTTTTCCAAAAAATATAGCACCATGGCCCCTATACATTATATTATAAAATCATCCAAGATAGCACCATGGTAGAAAATATAGCACCAGTGTACCTTGGTGCTTTAAGGCCCTGGGGAGAACACTGAATTACAATTTTCTATTGGACTGCCCACACTTTAGATGAAATTTGTTTGAGTTGTCTCCCCATGGACCATAAATTTGTGATGACATTTTGTATGTAGATATGCTGAGAGTGTAAGTTTTTATTAGACTGACCAGTTACCATTATCTTGAGTGACCATTTGCTACTTGAATATTTTATCAACATGTTTGCAATTTTGGTTGAGTAGTGGTTAAATATACATGATAATTTTATTAACAAGAAAAAGCCTCCAACTTTATTATACCCCTGCTCAAAAGAAGGGGGTATTCTGTTTTACCACCTGCCTGTCCATCTGTCCGATTAAATTTCCATAGCATATTTCTGAGGCACTACAATTAATAGCTTCCAGAAATTTGATATCAAGCTTAATGTCCGCACATTATACCCTGTGACACAGTTTCAGATTCATCATTCATCAGCTTCCTGCTTACTGAATACTTATCTATGCTATTAAAAAAACGAGGTCCTAGTGTTAGCTGGCATGACGTAAAAATGACGAATCAAAGGATTCAACTTATAACTAATATAGGACAATGGTGTTGTTTAAAAATTACACCATGCCAGGCCCTTTTGTTTTTTCACATAATTAATATTACCAATGATTAACAAGTTCAGGGTTGAATCCGATACCGATACCAATAGTATATGCCACATGTAGTTTCCGGTTGTACTTACCTGTTACCTTCTGTAAATCCCTCTATCAGGAGAACCTGGAATTCATCCAGTGGTTGTTTTATATCTATGTTATATTATAGTACACTATTTAACAAGTCTGTTTTCGTCCACCTCAATACCACTATTAATTTTGGTTAATTAGTTAAAAAATTAAATTTAGTTTATAGTAAGTTTATTGTAGTAAGAAAACCAGGACGGATTCAAACAGAAAGATTTTTAAAACATGCATAGAAAACTGTGCACCTTACAATCAGCATGACTTTATCAGATGACAATATGAATACTAAAAATCCAGGCTTAAAATAAGGCATAGGTACTTTAATTCATTCACGGACCCGCCATGTTGCGGGTGTGTTCTAGTATATTCTAAACATAATTGCAATTTATAAAAATTTTGTCGTATTTTTCAAGCAAATTTCAAAAAATAGCTTCCTGAAATTTTATATCAGGCTTCATGTCAGCATGGTTTATCTTGTTACATGGTTTCAGATTCATTGCTCATCAACTTCATGTTTATAGAGTATTTATATTATTATTCCAACAATACTGGCTTTGTATGAAATTTTTTGTAAAATAAGAGCTTCCTGAAAGTTGATATCAGGCTTCATGTGAACTTGATTTACCTTGTAATGCATTTTCAGATTTATTATTAAACTTTCTGTTTATTGAAATACTTTAAGTGGGGGTATCATTAGTTAGCTATTGCTCAGAGTTCTTTTTGTTTGGTAGTCATACTTCAGTCTAAATTTAGTTCTTTAAAGTAATTTTGATATAAGTAGTCAATGGGATACTTATACTTCTACAAATATGATTATTTTATATCATTCAGAGCAAATAAATGGTTCAAAAATATTCATCATATTTCTGATAAAGAGTCGAGTAATAATGAGGTTGTTGAAATTTAAAAAAAAATCATAGTTGAAAAATTGATTCAGCCTTCATATCCCAATGGGACTCGTCTGAAATATATAGATTCAACCACTGCATCAGATGTGACACAACA